TAGTTATTATTCTACAAATCATTCTGCCATTCCTTTTTCCAATCTTTCAATCAACCATTCATTCAACCACATTCAGCCATTCATAATACTATTCTATAATTAATTACACAATTAATTCTTTCATTCCTATAACCATTCATTCAACCATTGATTCTACTATTCTATAAATCATCATACCATTCATTTTTCCATTCCTTCAACCATTCATTCTACTATTCTATAAATCATTCTTCCACTCATTCATCCGTTCATTCGGGTATTCTATAAATCAGTCTACCATTTATACTTCCACTCATTCTACCATTAATTCTAGTATTCTAAATACCTCACCCATTTAACCCTCAACCAGTCATTTAACCATTCATTCTACTGTTCTATAAAATATTAGAACATTCATGCTTCCATTAATTTAACCATTCATTCAACCATTCATTCTACTATTCTATCAATCATTTTACCATTCATTCAACCATTCATTCTACTATTCTATAAATCATTCTTCCACTCATTCAACCAGTCATTTAACCTTTCATTCTACTGTTCTATAAATCATTCTACCATTCCTTCTTCCCTTCTTCCAAAGTAATGATACCAGGTGTTCCCGAAAAGGTAGGCGTATCCCGCCCCACCGGTGGCACCCATCACAACCACATGCAAAGGCAAGTCAATTTTTCACCTGAAAAAAGACACGAGAACATATAGTACAAGTCAAAATAGGGACTTGCATCGGACATAATGTTTGTCACTGATGCGTCAAATTTGGAAATGTCCTCCACGTGTCCACCATAAAACTTTTTGAAAGCTTTACTGAGGCCTACAATGTAACCTTGATCAAACAACTTCTGCGCAAAACATAGCATGCTCAAATGTATCTCAAAAGTTGTGAAATGTAAACGCCAAAGGCTGGAGCTGCTGGAATATTGCTCGACATGAAGGGGAAGTTGACTATTGGAAAGTTGAAGTGATCTCTCTTGTCATACAGTCGTGTGGAGAGTGTTTTGTCACTCTGAATCTTTGTGCATTGATTTAAATATGAAACAGATGAAGCGGTCTCACTGGGCGCCTTTATTTCTAGTTCAGGTTGGTAAATCAGGGGAAGGGAATTGGCTATTTGATTGTTATTGAACGATATCAGATCATGGATATACCTGATAAACTTCTTGGCCAAATTAGCTTGATGTGACTTTGCCAATCCGAGCACAAATTCCGATTCATATGCGTAAACAAACAGATCCGCAAGAAGGGGAGCACAATTGGTCCATGAGGATGCTTACGCCTTGCCTAAATGTCTTACCCTCAAATTTTACGTAGATGTTATCAATGAGGAAGTCCAGCATTTCACATATTGTTTCCTCAGTAAACTTCAGATGGCATTTGCTTTCATGTTTTACAAATTGTCCTGAACATCTGAGTGAGTGAGTTGGGTTTAACGCCGCTTTTAACAGTATTCCAGTTATATCACGGCGTGTCAGTTTAATGTGGGATGAAAGCCCGAAGTGATGCAGGTCTCAGACGGTGAAACCCACGAACACGGGTATGGTGCTGACAAACCTAGAAACATAGTTGGGGCGAACCGGGATTCGTAGGTTTCTGGCGTGCCCAAGGGACGCAACTCTGCACAGAGAATCGCGGCGCCTTAGACAACTGGGCCACCCGTGCCCAGTTGTCTCAATACTTTCTGTGAATATAAGGAAAGTCTTCTATTGATTGTATTAAGGATTATGGTTAGTCTTTGAGGCTGGGATTTGGTGGTACATTTGCTGGACCCAGCAATATATATCTCCTTGTACGAGTGTTTATGGAGCTTTGGAATCCAGTACAAAATAGGAATGGGCATGTCTTCAGGTTTTAGAGTCAAGTCAAAAGTTGACAGTACTGATTAATGGTTTTGGCAGATTTCATCTTCAGTTAACATACTGGCCTTATATGTGGCATTATTTGATATGTTATTTATACCAAGTTGATCAAACAAATAATGTAGTGGAGCTTATGTATAATGGTTATGTTATTTGAGGCCTTGTCAGTGCGAACACCTGCACATGTTTCATGTAGGGTAGACAGACTTTGGGTGACAGCTGGCTAGGACAGAATGGGTTTATTCAAATTCCGTTTCTTCTTTTTAAGTCTGTACATTGTACCAATGACAACATCACGCACTGACTTAACCCACTCTGAAAGACATTCAACAGGTTCCTTTTCTCATTGGGCTCATTGTTTGGCATCCATAATGATTTTAAAGTTGTGATCCCAATTGGTAGGATACCGTTCATTCTTCCATTCTTTCAACTATTCATTCAACCATTAATTCTATTCAATAAATCCTTCAACCATTCTATCTACTATTCTATAAATCACTCTTCCATTCATTCTGCCATTTAACCATACTGTCTACTATTCTTCCCATCATTCTACCATTCCTTCTTCCTTTTATTCTGCTTTTCTAAAAGAAATCATTATACAATTCCTACTAGTCTATAAATCATTCTTCCACTCATTTACCCATTCATTTAACCTTTCGTTCTATTATTCTGTAAATCATTCTACCTTCCCTTCTTCCATTCATTCAACCATTCATTCTACTATTCTTTAAATCATTCTTCCACTCATCCAACCATTTATTCTAGTATTCTATCAATCATTCTACAATTCCTTCTTCCATTTATTCTACTATTCTAGATATCATTCTTCCACACATTCAACTATTCATTCAATCTTTCGTTCCACTATTCTATAAATCATTCTACCATTCCTTCTTCCATTCATTCTACTATTCTATAAAAATCATTTTCCCACTCATTCATTCGGGTATTCCATAAATCAGTCTACCATTTATACCTCCACTCATTCAACCATTCATTCTAGTATTCTATAAATCCCTCACCCATTTATGCTTCTATTCATTTAACAATTCATTCTTCAATTCCATAAATCGTTCTACGATCCCTTTTCCCATTCATTCTACTTTTCTAGAAATGATTCTTCTACTCTTTCTACCATTTATTCATTCTTCCATTCATTAATTCTTCAGTTCATTCTTTGAAGCATTCATTTAACTGTGCTATAAACCATTCCATCCTTCCATCTACTATTCTGTAAGTCATTCTACCATCCTTCTTCCATTCTTTCAGCCATCCATTCAACCACATGCAGCCATTTATTCTGCCATTCTATAAATCATTTCACAATTAATCATTCCATTCTTTAAAGTGAGTGAGTATGTTTTTACACCGCTTTTAGTAATATTCCAGCAATATCACGGTGGGGGACAACAGAAATGGGCTTCAGACATAGTATCCATGTCGGTAATCGAACCCGGGTCTTCGGCGTGACGAGCGAACGCTTTAACCACTAGGCTACCCGACCGATTCCCTTTCTTTAAACCATTCATTCTACTATTCTATAAACAATTCAACCATTCCTTCTTTCGTTCACTCAACCATTCATTGAATTTCGTTTTACTATTCTATAAATCATTCTTCCACTCATTCAACCATTCATTCAACCATCCATTCTACTTTTCTATAAATCATTATAGCATTCCTTCTTCCATTCATTTAACAATTCGTTCTACCATTCCTTCTTCCATTTTTTCAACCATTCTTTCAACCACATTCAGCCGTTTGTTCTACTATTCTATAAATCATTCTTCCATTTCTTTTTCGTTCATTCTACTATTCTATAAGGGGGCACGGGTGGCCCAGTCGTCTAAGGCGCCGCGATTCGCTGTGCAGAGTTGCGTCCCTTGGGCACGCCAGAAACCTATGATTGTGGGTTCGAATCCCGGTTCGCCCCGATTATGTTTCTAGGTTTGTCAACACCATACCCGTGCTCGTGGGTTTCACCGAAGCGGTAAACGTCTGTGACATGCATCGCTTAGGGCTTTCCTCCCACATCAAGCTGACACGCCGCGATATAACTGGAATACTGTTAAAAGCGGCGTTAAACTAAACTCACTCACTCACTACTATTCTATAAATCATCCTACAATTCCTTCTTTCATTCACTCAACCATTCATTGAATTTCGTACTTCTATAAATCATTCTGCTATTCCTTCTTCCATTTTTTAACAATTCATTCAACCACATTTAGCCATTTATTCTGCTATTCTATAAATCATTCCGCAATTAAATATTCCATCATTGTATCGACTATTCTATATTTCATTCCACCATTCTTTCTTCCGTTAATTCTGCTATTCTAGAAATTATTATACCATTCCTTCTTCCATTCATTCTACTATTCTAGAAATCATACTACCATTCATTCTGCCATATATTCATTGAATCATTTTACCATTCAACCAGTTAATCATTCATTCAACCATTCATTCTACTATTCATTTTTCCATTCATAATACCATTGACTCTACCAGTCTAACGACCTAGAGTACAACTCGTGAAGATCCGGGATAGAATAGCTCTTCAGCAATTCATGCTTGCCGTAAAAGGCGACTATGCTTGTCGTACGCGACTAATGGGATCGGGTGGTCAGGCTCGCTGACTGGGTTGATGCCATCATCGTATCCCAATCACGTGGATCAAAGACGTATATAATCTATATACGTCTTTGCGTGGATCGATGCTCCTGATGTCAATTCCTGGATTGTCTGCACCAGACTCGATTATTTACAGACCGCCGTCATATAGCTGGAATATTACTGAGTGCGGCGTTAAACAACAAACAAACAAGCGAACCTAGTTTACAATACTGCCATGTGGATGCAAAATCAAATTGGTTGAAGTGTCGTACAATACTACGATATGTAGTTTTTAGCGGTATTCATGTTCAGACTCGTATCCAAGACGTAATCAGCAATTTGATCATGAAAATATCGTTAATATGTGCATACTATCAATAAGAAACACTGTACTGTTATTACGTATATTTGCCAATACGTTTTCTTGATATTTACTTCAAAGAATATCAAATTTCCACCTTTAATTTTTCCGTCAATATTCGTATGTTTCCGGACAGGAACCGGAAGTAGCCGAATGGTAACCCACGGCGAAAAGAAAAATATTTTCTCTTCAATTAGGCCTAGCTAGATAGGCCATGTCAAATTGGATAACGTAACATCCTTAGACAGTGGTATATTGACACAATACATAACAGTATCATTCTGAAGCGAGTTTTTAAGCTGAACTCTGTTTGTTGATTGCCGAGTTCGGTCAGGTGCTTGAAATGTCCGACTCAGAAGATGAGTCTTCTGACAAGCAACTGAAAATCGTCATTATGGGAGACGGAGCGTCTGGAAAGGTTATTATTCGCTTTATATATCTTTTTTAAATGTCTTCACGACCAAACGTCAGGTTGGCATATAGTTACTTTGATCGATATGTAGCTTAACCGAGTAGGATAACCAAGGAACTACCGTCACGTTTAGCTTATGTTTGTTTGTTTGTTGTCGCCGCACTCGGCAATATTGACTTAGGGCCAATGGTATGACCTGAATGAGCTAATGACATTATTACCAACCGTGTCACATTCAATCATCGGTTCTGAAAAGTCCAGTTTGCCCGTTTATGATTTTATTATCCAAAAGCAGTGTTACAGGTCTGTGTTATGAAGTGTCGTCTGTAATGTGATTATGAGTTCAATGATTAGCCTAGGACTAACCTGTTTAAATACTTGTGCTGTTGATGTCGTTGTCAGCACTGGTGCAATATTTCCTCGATTAAAGGCCTGGGTCTTTAATTGCAACATTTATAATGGGGAGGATTCAGTGAAAAAATTCATAAAAACTACATAGCATTTATCAAGGCATGGTGTTTTATCAATGACATACATACTGACTACAGAAATGTAGTACCCCAGATATGTTTCTAAACATGAATTTACCCCTCGCGTAATCTTGATCCATGGATATAAGGAAAGTGCACCGAAATTTGTGGTTTAAATTTTCGATTTCATTTTGTATATGCCTACTCACTTATCATTGAATTCATCTATTCAATTATTTGTTTTCTATGGTCATTTTACATTCTTCATTCATTCATGTGCACACAAAGTGTGACGTCACCTTGATTCGTGAAACAGGTAGTAGTTATGTATCGCCATGTACAGCAGCCCAGTACAGTTAATGTGGCTGAAGGGGTCGTTGTAGGCACAGATACTACAGATATGTACCCAATGTTTCTGTGTACAGAAATATACCCTAGCCAAAGTCAGCATGCAGAAAGAGGGTTAGAAACTAACAGTTTTTGTCCACTAGTCCTTATAATGATAACATATAGCAAAACCCTTAAAATGGGCTAATTTCTACTAGTCCTTAGGATACCTTTACTATTGGGCAGTTTGGTAAGGACTACGGGACTAGTGCCAATTTCTAACGCTGAGAAAGGTACCCTAGGATGAGTCTATTCCACTGCAGGCTGTATTGCGCAATACACTTAACTGGTTCCTTGAACACTTACGTGTATGACACATTCGCTGTGCTATATTAAAAAACAAGCAAACACAGTGACATATACGTATAAATTACTCCATTTTTTCACTATACACAGAATTATCCAGCATGCACTCTGTATATAGAAATGTGCCTGGGGTACATATCTGTAGTACCCGACTACCCGTGTCAATATGACCCCTTCAGATTTAGTGTGTAATAATCTGATAATTAGACAAGCAGACAACGAGATGTGAGACGGCTAGTGCTTAAATATCTTTTTTATTTTACTTTTTGTGAAATAAAATTTGGTATAAGTGATCTGGGGCTATTGATCTCAATGTTGGACATTTGGTTTTACTGGACTTAGATCTATGTGTAATGCAGCGATTTGGAAAGTGTGGCCTGTGTTGATGTTTCAATGACAGCTGCATCCCCATGTTAGTTATCCTAACTATGTGTGTTGCCTGAGTTTATGGTGATATTACTCATTAGTTGACCTGGTACTCATGAACCTGCTGAATGTGTGGGGATAGTGGTTAGAATTCATGCTGTATTAAGTTAACAAGGTTTTCCAAAGCCAACCACTGCATCATGTGCACATCACTCAAGCAGCTGTGATGGGAATCTATTAACATGAGGGGGCGGTCTGGTAGCCTGACGGTTAAAGCGTTCGCTCGTCACGCTGAAGACCCGGGTTCGATTCCAGACATGGGTACAATGTGTGAAGCCCATTTCTGGTGTCCCCCGCCGTGATATTGCTGGAATATTGCTAAAAGCGGCGTAAAACCATGCTCACTCACTCACTATTAACATGATTTGAGCAGTGTGCAAAACTCTTTTCAGTTTCTCTTGTAGTTTTGTATCATACTGCAGGAATAGATTGTTGTTAGAAATTTTGTTTGGACATATGATTCCCCCAACCCAAATGTGAACGGCCATGATTGATTTACCTTGGGTTATCTTACAAGAAATCTGCAGAGGTTTTTGCACACTGTTGAAATGGACTCATCAAGAGGCTTTATCTCTATAGCATTTAAAGGCCATCATGAGACAGGCTTATAGCTGGAATATTGCTGACTACTGTGTAAATAAATATTCATTCTCACACTCCATTATGTAAAAGAGTAATTAGCATGTATCATGTGTCTCATTCTATGAAATTTTGATGTTTCGATATGCTAGATGTTGATTATCATATGTGCATGTTTCGTAAATGCATTCCTGTTGCAGACGTCTCTGGCTACCCGGTATTCACAAGAACAGTTCAAGAAGCAATATGGCCAGACAGTGGGGCTCGATTTCTACCTTAAAAGAATAGTCCTCCCAGGTAAACAGTTGAGATGAAATGAGGACATCACAACTATTGGTGTTCTGTTCACATGGAAACAATATTCCTCCAAAGATAAATTGACTCGTGAAGATCCGGGGTAGAATAGGTCTTCAGCAACCCATGCTTGCCGTAAAAGGCAACTATGCTTGTCGTAAAAGGCGACTAATGGTATCGGGTGGTCAGGCTCGCTGACTTGGTTGATGCATGTCATCGATCCCAATTGCATGGATCGATGCTCATAATATCAATCACTGGATTGTCTGGTCCAGACTCGATTATTTACAAACCGCCGTCATATAGCTGGAATATTGCCGAATGCGGCGTTAAACAACAAACAAACCAACCAACCAAAGATAAATCCATAGCTAAGACATGTCACTATATGAGTCTATGATGTTGGGAAAACTATCTATTAGACATGGGGTGCAATAAGTAACTGATGTATCAATTAATGCTTTGCAAGTTTACGCGTAACCATGGTAACATTATAATACAAGATGATGCAAGATGTGCCGACCCATGTTGTGTCCCCTCATGTTTAGATTCTGTAGCCATTTTCAAAATGTTCAAGAAATTACTTATATTTTCATTGTTGTTGTTGTTTAATACCCAGGCCTGATAATGAGTTAAACATAAACTGGTTGATAGTGTAGCAGGGCGTGGAGTCATCCCACAGATGACATCCTTACCTTGTCAGCTTGCTGACGGGGTTAACCTCTTTGGTCATGTGGACAAGGTGTCCGACCTCAGATCAGAAGGACCGTGGTTCGAATCCAAACACGGGATTCAGGGTTTATGACCGCTGCATTGGCGCCCAACGTTGGGCTGAGCACGTTCATATTACATTTGAGCAAAATAAGCCTCAGTACCCTACTATGCGGCCCAGGGCGTGCCTTCTGTTGACGGGGAAGTATGTAGCAGGGCATGGAGTCATCCCACAGATGACATCCTTACCTTGTCAGCTTGCTGACGGGGTTTACCTCTTTGGTCATGTGGACAAGGTGTCCGACCTCGGATAAGAAGGTCCGTGGTTTGAATCCCAACACGGGACTTGGAAATTTTATGGCCGCTACAATAGCAACAATGTTTTGTTAGACCACACAGTGAATTAGTGAGTTGGATTTAATGCTGCTTCCAGTATTCAAGTTATATCACAGCATTTGTCCACGTAGAACCACATGGACAGGATCTTATCTAGACCTGCTCAGTGGATGTTGCTGTTCGACCCCAAAGCCTGCAGCAAATGTCAGTAAAATTTTCCGAATTGGAACTACAAATTTCCCAATGACTAATGTTATGGCTTTGGAGAAGTGAGTTTTATTTCACTGACCAATCTGAGTTCGACAACAATTATTCTCAAATTGCCTGTCAAAGGTACCTACTGTATATTCGACATAATAAGCGCCCAGGGCACTCTCAAAATTAGAAATAGGGGACTCTCATTAGAATATTATTTTGGTGAAAAAAACAGAGTTGAAAGATACATTTCGTGGTTTATGCTGACAGCCTGAAATGTTTATGTGCGACAGATATATTTTTCCAGAATTTAATTGCCCATAATTAAGGGTGCATATAACACACGGGTGCGTATCATACACGAAAAAATAAGTCTTGTGTACATTAATGAATCGGAAGGGGTGCTAATTAAGATTGTTCACTAGCCAATGTATAAGCAAATATCGCCGTAGGCGCGTATTACGTCGAATATGGTAGTTTGGAATCCGGAATAAATGCTTGATGGTTCACATAAAATTTCATGCAAAACAACACAAATCATGTATCACGATACATGTCAAATTGTGACTCAAGTTTGGCAAAATGTATCAATAGTGAAGTAGTCGTATCATAACGCACCTACTGTCTACATCTTTCATTAAAAAATTATGTAATGAACATGATGATATGGGTGATCCCTCTGATGATGTAATTCAGTCAACATGATCAAAGAGAGCCCTTTAAAGTGTTCGCTTTCAGTAACAACAGTACCCTCTAGCATGTCTAAACCCTTGAGGCTTTCTATCCACTGTGGACAAGTGTAATCAGTAGCCACAATGGTAGGAGTGTTTGAAAATAAGGGGGGTCCTGGGGTCTATTATGGTATTTTAATCTGGGGACACCCTAATTCTTTAACTTCTAACATTAAGATTATGAGAGGACACCCTGGTGTACTGGGTAATTTCCAACACTGGGTAGCCATTATAGTCATTGTAGTATTCCAATTAATTGATTTCATGGGTGATTGATTGGTATTTCTGGTTTATCTGACAATACAAATACACATATTAACCTTCCTCTCTGAACATGCTGAATGTTATTAATCAATGCCTATTATAACAGTAATTGCTATGGAAATTGTAAATCATCATGTCTAGAGTTCTCATGGAAATGAAAAAAATCTGTTTTGTTGGATTTAATAATCGACACAAAGCATTATTTAGATGTAAATACGAAATAACAAAACAACTGAAAAAGGACTAGTCTGGATTTGCTAGTTTGTGCTCAATACAAAATGTACTTTACAGGAGGTAATTTGCAGGCACTTTCAACACTCAAAAATAAAACTAAGTCCAAATTGACATGGCAGAAACAGGCTATAGGCTTTATGCAAATTAGCCTGGAAAAAAGGTGATCAAATCAACAATAAAAATAACAGCTATGTTTATGTACATAATAATGACATGTAAGTTGTTTGAGAAGGGAACATGTTACTTTTACGTTCTGATATTTTGACGATGATTCACTATCCCACAATGCCACTCACAAATCACTAACCACTGACAAATCACATGCACATGGGTTTCAAGCAACTGTTTTCACCTGTCGTCAAGGTGTCATAGGTCATGGACATTCACCTTGATCTACTAACACCTGGTTATGCTCAGTTTCACAATAGTCTGTTTTGTTCATATTTTTACACACTTTTACGTGTAAAAAGACCTAAAAACCTTTGATACGCTGTATTTGTGCCAAGGCCCAATTAGTACTAATTGAGTTGTTTGAATTTTTGTAAGCCTGCAAAATGGAATTGAAAGTTTCCCAATTTATGTTAACATGGTTAGTTTTATGTCTTGATAGCAATCACCCGTGTTTCACTCATAACAGATGAATAGATAGGATAATACTTTGTTGTACCGGTATATTATCATGATTATTGCCTTGAATGCAATCTCATCTCAAATATAATGTTAAAACAGGCCCACCTCTGAATTTAGTCCCAATTTTGTTTGATTTTTTCTCAAATGGTTTGCCAGGGGCACTAAGTTTAGAATCCTGGATAAATCCCTGCAGCAGAAGTCAGTATAAATTCCCAAATTGGAATTATACATTTCCCAATTCATGTTGTTATAGTTATAACTAATGTTATGGCTTTGTAGTGGCAAGATGTATTTTACTGATAATAGGACCCAGGGTTTTATGTGACACAGACGCCACCCACGCAACACAGTGCCTTTGTTCTTTGCTACTGCGTTAAAGGCCAACATAAGCTGAAGTACTCTACTCAGCACTAATAAGCAGTGTTTTTGGATTAATGTAAGGTTGAATTAAGGTGAGGATTCTCCTGTAAAGGGAAGGACATTTTCTTAAGATATAAGTCCACTGATGCTTGAGAAGAGGGGGTGTAGCTTTCATATTGAGTCGCATTTTTGGCTAGGGGCCAGCGGTTGCATTCTTTTGGAGACACATTTATTTCACGATTTACAGTACATTTTGCAGTGGGTGAATAAATCCCTTTACTTTACCCCGCCATGAGCAAGACAGGCTGAATGTGGATGACAATGTAGTATTTGACAGTGCACTGTATACATGGTATATGGAATTACAATTTCTCCCCAAAAGAAATAAAATTGGTCTTGTCTAAACTATGTTTAAATATTGAAACTTATCCTATCTCACACTATGCATTTTTTCTTCTTTCGATCCTGCTTGAACAATGTTTCCAGCTTCTAGCATCACCATGGTCACCACCCAAACAAATGGGTCATTCACTGTAATCCTGTGCATTGCAACTACCACAAAATGATGACATGACTACCCCTGCCACATTATTCTCTTTCTTAGAGCTAAAATGCGGGGATAGTTGGGGGGGGCATATAGCGTGTAAGATGGGAAAAGTCTATAAATAGACAATTTAATGTAAAATGTACAAATTTTTCAACTTATCCTATCTCACACTGCATTTATCCCATGGTTGGATGGTGTGGCCCAGATACCCTCGCCTGTATAGACTACAACCGTGAGACGTACATGAGGAAGCTGGTGCTAAACAGGTATCCAAATGCAGTCATGTCCCGTTGATCCAACATGGTTGGTTGCATATGATTATGTCAGATTCACAAGTATGTCAGTTAAATTAAGTAGTATCAACATTTGTGATCGAAAAGCAGACAACTACACAATAGAAAATGCTACAAACAGCTGGAAAACACACCCTGTAGGAACCTTATGTACACTAACACTGTATAGGACACTCCATTTATCATTAGATCTTCGTCATTTACCACAGCTAATGAGTTAGTTACAAAGTGATGAAATGGTCCCCGACTTGTTGCAGGCAATGTTCATGTGGCCCTGCAGGTGTGGGACATCGGCGGCCAGACACTCGGAGGCAAGATGCTGGAGAACTACATCTATGGCAGCCATGTAAGTAGTGTAGGAAACTCCTGGGCCCCATCCCCAGGTTGCCCTGATTGCATTCCTTGGTAGTAGAAGTATGCAGGGGTAGATTTAACAATAATTGTGTATGTAGCCAGGAGGACTTGCTCCTTTTTAATTTATTGGCCCTTCTCCAAACTATCTGGCCTACAACTACATGGTGGAGGCCACGTAGCCACGTAGTGGGGCTCTGAAATTTTAGAACTCCTTATCTCTAAAATGTCACCTGCGCTCTGAGATTAAATCTTAGCCTCCATTGTCCTCATTTCATGGTGGTTTATGAGCAAATAAAGAAGTTATTGTCCATAACATTACAAAATGGCACCCAGTTGTCATTCTACTGAGATGATCCGATTAAAATAGTTAAACATACACAGCGGAGTGAAATTTTGACTAGCCAAACGGGCCATCTACTTTACATTTCATCAAGCCCTTTGTAATTTTAACTGGCCACAGGCCAATGGGCCAGTGGTTAAATCAACCCCTGGTATGATACCAATGCTCATAGTTTTACGTGTAACAGTGTTATGGGTAACAGTAAGGTTTAACATGTTTTATGAAATAATGCTATAAATGAACCCCAGACTCTCTTACAGATGTGATGGGATGAAAATAGGATTGTTTGATACAATATCAGTAGGCATTGTGACTGTCTCCAATGGACCTGTGTAAGAGAGACTAGCACTCACTCAGTGGTGTCAGTAGGTATTGTGACTGTCTCCAATAGACCTGTGTAAGAGAGACTAGCACTCACTCAGTGGTGTCAGTAGGTGACCGTCTCCAATGGACCGGTGTAAGAGAGACTAGCACTCACTCAGTGGTGTCAGTAGGTATTGTGACTGTTTCCTATGGACCGGGGTAAGAGAGACTAGCACTCACTCAGTAGTGTCAGTAGGTATTGTGACTGTCTGCAATGGACCTGTGTAAGAGAGACTAGCACTCACTCAGTGGTGTCAGTAGGTATTGTGACCGTCTCCAATGGACCGGTGTGAGAGAGACCAGCACTCACTCAGTAGTGTCAGTAGGTATTGTGACTGTCTCCAATAGACCTGTAGAAGAGAGACTAGTACTCACTCAGTGGTGTCAGTAGGTATTGTGACTGTCTGCAATGGACCTGTGTAAGAGAGACCAGCACTCACTCAGTAGTGTCAGTAGGTATTGTGACTGTCTGCAATGGACCTGTGTAAGAGAGACCAGCACTCACTCAGTGGTGTCAGTAGGTATTGTGACCGTCTCCAATGGACCTGTGTAAGAGAGACTAGCACTCAGTGGTGTCAGTAGGTATTGTGACCGTCTCCAATGGACCTGTGTAAGAGAGACCAGCACTCACTCAGTGGTGTCAGTAGGTATTGTGACTGTCTCCAATGGACCTGTGTAAGAGAGACTAGCACTCACTCAGTAGTGTCAGTAGGTGACTGTCTCCAATGGACCTGTGTAAGAGAGACTAGCACTCACTCAGTGGTGTCAGTAGGTATTGTGACTGTCTCCAATGGACCGGTGTAAGAGAGACTAGCACTCACTCAGTGGTGTCAGTAGGTATTGTATTGTGTGTTGCAGGGGGCCCTGCTTGTGTATGACATAACCAGCTATGCCAGCTTTGAGAACCTGGAAGACTGGTACAACATGGTTAAAAAAGTCTATGGAAAGGAGTCACGACTACCTCACATGGCTCTGGTTGGAAATAAAAGTGAGTGTTTTGTGTTTAGAAAATCATATGCAGTGGTTGAAATTAAGAATGAAAGCCAAAGTGTTTTTGTCATAAGCCTAGTATTAAAATGATTGATTTAGAGACTTCTTAAGAATAGTGTGTTATTGCACCCTGGCCGTATGGATGAAGTCAGAACCTCGGAAACGAAACTGGCCACTATCACGTACAGTGAGCAAACTGAAGGGGGTCCTTGAGGTTTGCTCCTTGAGTATTTGTATCTGAGGACCCCTTTAATTTTCAACTATCTAATTAGCCTCTGAAGACGCCGGTGTAGAATAGGTCTTCAGCAACCCATACTTGCCGTAAAAGGCGACTATGCTTGTTGTAAAAGGCGTCTAACGGGATTGGGTGGTCATGCTCGCTGACTTGGCATGTCATCGATCCCAATTGCGTGGATCGATGATCATGATATTAATCACTGGACTGTCTGGTCCAGACTCGATTATTTACAGACCGCCGTCATATAGCTGGAATATTGCTGAGTGCGGTGTTAAACAGCAAACAAACAAACAAAGCCTCATGACAAGGAACATTACTAGTGTTAGAAATTGGCACCAGTCCTGTAGTTCTTGCCACTGCCCAGTTAAGGTATCATGAGGACTAGTAGAAATTTGACATTATTAAGGGTTTGGTTGTTATCATTATAAGGACTAGTGGACTAAGATGTTAGTTTCTACCGCTGATTACTTCCAGGCTTAATTTCTAACACTCGTACAGCTGGAATATGACTGAATAAAATAACTTTCATTCACACAGCTATGACCTTGCTGGCCTCGTGTCACTGAGGAAAGGTATCTGAGCTATTAGTTTCTGGTATGTATGCTCTAATGTGGATGCCACTGTACTGAGATAGTGCTGACTTCCTCCTTACCATGCTTACCCCCACCCCGTGGGGATCCAGGTGTCCCAGGGTGTGCATCCCCCTGGCCAGTTCTTCACCAGGGAAAGTTTTGCCTAGGTCAAATAATTCCTCGGGTATAAAATAGCTTAGTCCAAATCTTCCCCAGGGAAGGACCGTCCCGGGATGATGTATCAGCCTGTAACACCGGGTTAGAACTATTACCTAGCAGTCTGATCTGGTCGGGGGGGGCACGGGTGGCCCAGTCGTCTAAGGCGCCGCAATTCGCTGTGCAGAGTTGCGTCCCTTGGACACGCCAGAAACCTATGATTGTGGGTTCGAATCCCGGTTCACCCCGATAATGTCACCCACCCACTCACTCACTCACTGATCTGGTTGGAACCATCAGGATTCTGTGTTAGAACTGTCCCCAGCAGCCTATGCTGGTCATGAGAGGCAGCCAAATGGATCGGGTGTTCCAGCTCGGTGGCTGACGACCCTGATCATTGCACATAATATCAATCTCTGGATTGTCTGGTCCAGACTGCTGACATATTACTGAGTGCAGCAATAAGGAAAAATCAAAGTTCTCCTTAAACCCTTCACTCCTCTACCTGCAGGTGACCTGGAGCATATGAGGACAGTGAAGCTTGACAAGCACCAGAAATTTGCTCAGGAACATGGCATGTCCAGCCATTTTGTGTCAGCTAAGACTGGGGATACGGTAGGTAGACAGACATAGAAAGTAGTTTCAGGTACCTTAACTGATTACATAAAAAACAGTGAAGTACACAAAGTGCTGGGGATTATGAAATATATACTAGGGTTTCTGTTGTCAATATTGGATATTAGCAGCATAAGGGAAGTCAAGTGTATAGATAGTATTAGCAGTAGGAGTGAATTTTGGGGCTATTTTCACAATTGCGATTGTATTGTATTAATCAATGGATTGAATTATAATGTTGATGATGATTGATGATTGATGATTGATGATGATAACTGATGATGAGTGAGTGAGTATGGTTTTACGCCGCTTTTAGCAATATTCCAGCAATATCATGGCGGGGGACACCAGAAATGGGGTTCACACATTGTACCCATGTCGGGAATCGAACCCATGATGATGATGATGATGATGATGATGATGATGATGATACATTCTTCCCAGGTGAACCTGTGTTTCCAACGTGTGGCTGCAGAGATTCTGGGAATCAAGTTGACCAAGCCAGAAGTTGAGCAGCAGCAGCGGGTTGTGAAAGCAGAGATCATCCAATACAGCAATGATGCAGCAGCCAAACCCCTCCCCACACAGACTAAAAGTTCCTTCTGTACGCTGCAGTGACAGCTCAATCCTCTACACTGGTGGCAGCAACAGCGTTGTGACCACATGTGCTCAACACAGTGTTATTCCTGCACGCTCTACACGACTGTTATTACTTCTTGAGTACTACCGTACATATTACAACCCTGCATGGAGCTACTTGGAACTGTGAAGCAGGCATGTGGCTGTGCTTATGATGTTATGTGTAGATGGAGATGGTGTCCTTTACTTCAAGGCTGATCCACCCTTTTTAGAAGGGAGTGGTCCAAAATATCAAAATCCTCTCTCGGGGGGGCGGGATTGTCTACAACATACTACATTTGGTTTTCAAAAGGGAGATGTCTGGACCCTCTGGATCCGCCTATATATTTACTGAATTGTACAATCAATTTTGGGTTTAGTTGAAACGGGGCAAAGGCGGCTGTCGTCTAAGGCGACGGAATTTGCTGTGCATGCCGTGATATAACCGGAATACTGTTCAAAGCAGCATTAACCCAACTCACACACTTACTTAGACAGTACATTAATAGAACAATTCAAATGTTAGGAAAAAAATGTTCATTGTATCAGACCCCTAGTAAATATTGGACCAGACTTGACAGAACACATATGGGGATTTCCTTTGTGAACACTGGTTAAAATGAGCCAGGTATATGCAGTTCATAATTACCAAAGTAATTTACTCCATCACAGTGTATAGATTGCCAGGAGGTAGTATGTCATTCAACACTAGTTAACATGCCTGGTCCATCGTTTTCATACTGTTTTGTCATCAATCTAAAGCGTATGAATGTTGAGTAGTTACTTTGTACTGTTACCAAGTGCTGGTGGCCATGTGAAGGCAAACTAGGACTGTGTGACAGAGGGATGTGCTCCATGGTTGAAGATGTAATTAATCCTGTGTTGTAAACTGAGATATCTGTGTATCTAGGGTTAACTGTTCGATTGATGTGCATCTTTAAATTTGATTAAGCACACAAAAAATGGGTTTATGACAACTTTAATCCAACTTGCAAACTTCCAAATGGTCTGGACATCTGGTATATGAGTAAAGACAGCTTTGGCTCTGGCTCTGATGCAGGCGTTGCCAAGGCAACTGAGGCCAGCGGAGGACTTGGAGCTTGAGGTCCTGTAGATTGAAACGGTTGGCATGACACTTGTTTGATGTTCTGAGATGGACATGTGTTGTCAGATGCGTGGAGTATGAGCTTGTTACCTGGTGTTGTAACATATGTTTTAATTCGAGAGTGAGAGTGCTTGACTGGTTCTTTAGGCTATTGATATGTCCATGGGAGGAGATGCTTTCATCATGTTGATGAATTTACCTGCTTAATTGTGTTTGTTACATTTGTTTTGTGAAAATCCAAAGCATATTTATTTATTGTTTGTTGAGACAAATCCATTTGATGTTATGTTTGTGTAATATCATCATGCTTGTATGTATATGGTAGCCAATGTATTATTTGTATAATAGGCTGACAATAGCACAAAACAATATTCACTCACTCTCACGAGCCTGCTAAGTAATCTTTGGAGAGAGTTAGTATCGATGACAGCTGCTTGCTGTTTGGTACTGAACAGGGTTGATTTGTCATTTAATGTGAATATTACATGATCTCTAAAAGTTGCTTCATTTTAAGCTAAAAAAAATATTTGGGATTAGGGAACACATTTGTCTAATTGGTTTATTGAAGGCCATTAAGTGACTGTTTTAATAGTACAATATATATTGTAGCAGGATCATGAGAGGTACATGGGGTTTGATGCCTCCCTCTTGAGGTTTTATACCCCTCGCCTCCAGCTTGTGGTGACCTCACGTGGGACGCATAAAACCCCATGTAACCCTCGTGATCCTGCTACAATTGATCTTACCGACATGTTCTAATGTGACTTTGTAAAAGAATTAACACAAATTCAAAATTGTCAGAAAACAGTTGTACGATTGAGCTGAGATTAACTTGTGCTGTGTCATTGACTTCCATTGACTCAGAAAAAGCGTGCAGCTTTTTGCTTTAGTGTGGGGTATAAGGGATTTATTCCGCCTTTATTATTTAGATTCTAAACCATGGATGTTAGATAAGTCTACGAGGGTGTTGGCTTCCATACTTGTTACAGGAAATCTCACCCCTTCATCACAGTTTGATGTCAACTTATTTAATTCGGAAACATACCTGAGATATATGTTAAAAATGCTGAAACCTTTCAGTGAAGGATTAATGATGAGGTTGCTAGGCAACCACTGATTTCATTGTTAACTATAATGGAGAGGCCTAGCCTAGTGGTATTATGCAACACCCGTTGTTACAGATGTCTGGATTGATGCTGAAAGTGGTGTATAACTCACTCACTCACTCACTCACTCATAATGGTAGGTTGTGATACATCTCCGATTCTTAAAGGATACAAATTTGTGCCATATGAGAGTATTTGTTTCAACCGAAGTATACTCAAGCTTCAGTGGTTTCAGTGATATTAAATATGTGTACTGTTATATGTGATATATGTCATTGTTGATCCTGCTACTGGAAGAATTACAATCTGGAACCTTGGGTTGGGGTTTCAAATTGAAATAAAATTGAAAAGTGATCATTCAAAGCATGGTCTGTAGGAAACACGACTGTCTGATTTATCAAAGAGTTAACTCCCTTCTCTTTTATTTTTAAACCTTCTTATTGTACAAATATATAATTAACACTTGTATGGGAAAACAGGATTGTTCCAAACAATTCAATTTTGGGGCACATTTGGAAAGATTGGGTTGGCTAATTGATAAAATGTAATAAGAAAAACGGCATAACGGTGGGTGTCCTGTATAGAGTGACAATGGCATGCGGTACCCTTCATGATACTGAATACATGATACTGTAATAATGTCATTTCCTGGTAATTAAACACATGTATAGTGAAACCTCTTTAATCTGGAAACCAAACCTTCCCCAGAGTTACTCTTAGGAATGCTTACATGCATACAAAGAGACCAACAACCATTATTCCTTACTATAATGGTTAATGTAAATCATGGTTGCTTCATTAAAAGTACAGGATTCAATTATCACAGTAATTCAGTAACCAGAAAATGGCACTTGGCCTATAGTCCTTGCCAAACTGTCCAATAGTTAAGCTATCAGAAGGACTAGGAGAAATTGGCTATTTTTAAGGTTTTTGTCTTCGTTATTGTTATAAGGACTTGTGGACTAAAGCTTTTAGTTTCTATTGCTGTGTACCCCTATCAATTGTTGAGTAACGTATAATACACCTGAGTAGTGCAGGAAATTCTGTATTTCTGGACAAAGTGATGCGGCATGACCTTCTCTGTGTTTTTGTAGGTGTTGTATATGTCATTGGATATTGCACACCATTTCTTACAAGCTGTCCTTGATCCTGGCATTGTTGATTGGGTGTGGTAAAAGCTCGTCTCGTCACGCCAACAGCCCGAGTTCTGTTCCTATCTGGATCAAGTGCAAATTGCAGGATAATTTATGTACAGTGTTAGATCTGTCATGGAGGATGACCAGATGCTGAAAATACAAAATCCAAATTGTGGCAACCATATTTCATGAGTAATACAGAACTGGCAAAATGCTGGTCTTGTAGAATGACTTGAAGACAAATTTTGAAATCCTGCATGTTCAAAGTTATTTTCTCTATTCTGACCTTTGATCTGCAAGGCTCTGTCATGTTTGAGGCTATGTTCTGAGATGATCTCTGAAATGTTTGAGGTGGTGTTCTACAATGGTCTGTGATTTGTTTGAGGCTTTGTTCTGAGATTTTCTCTGAAATGTTTGAGGTGGTGTCCTATGATGACCTCTGAAATGTTTGAGGTGGTGTTCTACGATGGTCTCTGAAATGTTTGAGGTGGTGTTCTACGATGGTCTGTAAAATGTTTGAGGCTTTGTTCTGAGATTTTCTCTGAAATGTTTGAGGTGGTGTCTTATGATGACATCTGAAATGTTTGAGGTGGTGTTCTACGATGGTCTCTGAAATGTTGGAGGTGGTGTTCTACGATGGTCTCTGAAATGTTGGAGGTGGTGTTCTGCGATGGTCTCTGAAATGTTGGAGGTGGTGTTCTACGATGGCCTCTGAAATGTTTGAGGTGGTGTTCCATGAGCCTTTTGCTCATGTTCCACTCAATGTGGTAGAGGGTTTTTTACCTTGCTCCGGGGCGGTGGGGTAGCCCAGTGGCTAAACTGTTCACTCTTCACGCTGAAGACCCAGGTTCGAATCCCCACATGGGTACAATGTGTGAAGCTCATTTCTGGCCTCCCCCGCTGTGCTAAAAGCAGTGTAAAACCATACTCAGTCACTCACTGACCTTTCTCCACATAGTGCCCTCATTGCCTCTCCACTGCCAACCGCCTGTCTTGTCCAACGTCTACAACGAATAGTATGACAACTGTGTTTGTTAGTGTCAGCATTACTGTAGTGTATGTGATATAGTGGTGTTGTGCTGTGAAGATTCTCTTTGTCCTTCATTGTGACATGTTATTGGACACTGGCATCAAATGGTTTCATGTCATTTACAATACATAACATATTGATTTCTTCAGATCACAAAGGTGGGTTAGGTAGCCTAGTGGTGTCTCATGTTGAACACTTGGGTTCAGTTCCACTCACGGGTACATCTTGTAAAGCCAATGTAGCTGTGTCCCCCAGCCAATACACAGCAATATTGCTAAATCAGCGTTAAATCCTACTCTCTCTCATTCACTCAGATCATGAAAATGTTTAATGTCAATGTTACCACAAAGTTGCTGTGATGGACACATTAATGTTGATTTATCTCTAAAAGTCTTGGGTAAGAGTTTGAAGCACTGTTTTAGTCTCTACTTAATGCAGTCATGGCACCATGTTTATGAAGCCCATATTTGATGTCAGCTATAACATGTACAATAAGATATCGACTATCAAGTCTTACAGTAATATTCACTCACTCAAGCCTTTCCCACATTTCATGAAATTGTTGCAGCCTTTCATTGGAGTTTTCTGTGATATTGATGTATAATTTCTTTTATGTAAATCTGTTTGTTGTGGAGACACTGTTTTGATTACATTAAGAAGGTTCTACTGTTATGATACAACTCATACCATAACGTGAAAGAGAAATGTTAAAACAAATTGGAGGACACTTTTCTCACAAACACATGGAGGGATTACAAGGTGGCCCAGAGGTTAAGGTGTTCGCTTGTCACATTTATGACCTGTGTTCAATACCCAACACTGGGACAATTTGTGTACAGTTTGGAGCATGATCGATGCTCATGATATGAGTCACTGGATTGTCTGGTCCAGACACAATTATTTACAGACCGCTGTCATATAGCTAGGATATTGCTGAGTGTGGTGTTAAACAACAAGCAAACAAACAAAACTGATGTGATAAACATGTAGGATCTGTGTCGCTTTGTACTTTCCTCCCACATTAATCTGACATGCTGTGATATAACTGATATTCTCGGGCTTCTGTGAATTGCTGTTATGTTTGTATATTGATTTTCTCTGTCCTTCAAAATCACTGCAGCTGAAGAGGCCTTAAAAGGTACTTGATATACGTCCTCTGGTATGTCTGGCTAATCATATATGATCTAAACAAGAGGTCATTCTTTTTTAATATTTCAGTGCTGGAAGCAAATAAGTTCTCATACAATCGTGTCCATTCTCAGGTACATCATTCACTACATGGGTATGATATGTGCAGCCTATTTCAGGTGTTCCCTGTCATGACATGACTGGATTATTGCTAAAAGCTGCATAAAACTCTACTTACTCACCAGGGATTTATCCATGCCAATATTGGATGTTTTAACAGCAAAAACTGGTAAAAAGTTCCAAATTGTATTAAAAGATGTCCTAAGTGTGGTTGTCATGAGGTTGCAAAGAATGCATTGTAGGAATACCTACCGGGGATTTATTTAGGATTCCAAACTATGTGCTCTTGGCAGGCAAATTGGGGAAACAATGAGGTGATTTTGTTCAAAACTGGATCTTTTTACTGTTCATATTTTCATTAATTCGGAGGAACTAAGAATATTTTTAATTCAAATTTTAATTTTTCCTTTCTTTTGCAGAATATTGGTGTCAGAGCAGGTCTAGATAAATCCCGAAGAACCGTAATAAGAATTCCAAATTGTGGAGAGAAAGCTTTTTTCCCAATTTGCATGTAAATCCAAGCTCACTTACTCACTCACTCTGACATGTGAAAGCAGGAACACTAGAGCCTGTTTTTGTCCAACCACCTTGATGCATGTATGTAATCAGTCTAATGACTGTTGCTTTGAAGGACTGGTACATTTCCTGCAGAGTATTAACGTCTGATGAATTAAACATTTGTGAGACAGAAAATAGAATGTCATCGATTGGCGATAGATCAGCAATGTTTACAGAGTTGTTGTTGGGTGAAGAGTACCTGAATTGATACTCGTAATCACCATGACAGACCAATCGGCAGGATATGTGCCTGTTGCAGTGTAGCTGGATGACCCAGCTGCTGATCATGCTAATGTACATATAGTTGAGGGCTGGGATGGGTAACTTGGGTACTCGGGTCGAGTGGGTACTGAGAAGGACCCAGGTACCCACAGAACTACCCAGACCCATGGTTGGTCATGACCAGATCGATTTATATGTGTATCTAAATACATTTTGTCCAGGGCTACAGTCAAACTATTCCCAATCGGACATACTGTACCTCTCTCTTGAGACCAGGAGTGGGTACCCAGGTAGGGTCGGGTAATAGGTGGGTGGGTACCCGGGTAGTAAATTTGAGTAAACTCGTCCCAATGTATTCATTTTGTGATCAATATTTGCTGGTCTTCACAGACATCAACTTGATAGCGTCCTTGTGGTTTCACCAAAGTGGGAAACGTCTAGGACCTGCATCACTTCAGGTTTTTCGTCCGACTTAAATGCCATGATATGACTGAAATACTGTACAAAGTAGTGCTACCCCTGACCCGTGAAGATCCAGGTTAGAATTGGTCTTCAGCCACCCATGGTTGCCGTAAGAGGCGACTATGCTTGTTGTAAGAGGCGACTAACGGGATTGGGTGGTCGGACTCACTGACTTAGTTGATGCATATCATCGTAACCCATTTGCGTAGATCAATACTCATGATGTCAATCACTGGATTGTCTGGTCCAGACTTGCTTAATTACAGACAGTGATATGGCTGGAACATTGCTGAGTGTGGCATTAAGCAACAAACAGAGCAAAGTGTTACTCCCCACTCACAACAGCATAGCACTAAAGGACAAGGAGTAGCAGATCAGATCTTTGTGTCCCCATTAGGATATTACTCGAATATTGAATTTACAGAATCAAACACAGTTCACTCAATGACAAGACTTCACATTTTAAACAATGTATTAACTTTGTGTAATGCACTGCAATATTCCTTGTTATTTGTATTTTATGACCACCTCCATGGTCTAGTGGTAGAGCGTCCACCCTTAGAGCAGAAGATCCGGGGTTCGATCCCCGGCAGCGTCATACCA